GTTTTCCAGACCAAGGGGTTCCAATATGACTCTGCAAGGTACATCGTGTTTTCTCTCGTTAACAGATTGGTATAAACTTTGAGGCTAATGATGAGAGAGAGAGAGAGAGAGAGAGAGAGAGAGAGAGAGAGAGAGAGAGAGAGAGCACAAACCATAATCCTAGTCCTGGCACTCCACATATCCCATAGTCTTGGCACCCCACATATCCTATAGTCTTGGCACTCCACATATCCTATAGTCTTGGCACCCCACATATCCTATAGTCTTGGCACCACATATCCTAGCCTGGCACCCCACATATCCTATAGTCTTGGCACCACATCCTATAGTCTTGGCACCCACATATCCTAATCTTGGCATCCCACATCCTATAGTCTTGGCACCCCACATATCCTATAGTCTTGGCACTCCACATATCCTATAGTCTTGGCACTCCACATATCCCAATCTTGGCATCCCACATATCCTATAGTCTTGGCACTCCACATATCCTATAGTCTTGCACTCCACATCCTAATCTTGGCACCCCACATATCCTATAGTCTTGGCACCCCACATATCCCAATCTTGGCATCCCACATATCCTATAGTCTTGGCACCCCACATATCCTATAGTCTGGCACCCACATATCCTAATCTTGGCATCCCACATATCCTATAGTCTTGGCACCCCACAACCTAATCTAGCATCCCACATATCCTATAGTCTTGGCACCCCACATATCCAGTCTTGGCACCCCAATATCCCTAGTCTTGGCACCCCACATATCCTATAGTCTTGGCACCCCACATATCCTAGTCTTGGCACCCCACATTACCTAATTCTGGCATCCCACATATCCTATAGTCTGCACCCCACATATCCTATAGTCTTGCACCCCACATATCCTATAGTCTTGGCATCCCACATATCCATAGCACCCACATATCCTAATCTTGGCATCCCACATATCCTAGTCTTGGCACCCCACATATCCTAATCTTGGCATCCCACATATCTTAGCCTGCACCCCATATCCTAGTCTTGGCACTCCACATATCCTCGTCTTGGCACCCCACATATCCTCAAGCTGGCACCCCACATATCCTAGTCTTGGCACCCCTATATCTCGTCTTGGCACCTCACATATCCTAGTCTTGGCACCCCACATATCCTCGTCTTGGCACCCCACATATCCTCGTCTTGGCACCCACATATCCTAGTCTTGCACCCCACATATCCTAGTCTTGGCACCCCACATATCCTAGTCTTGGCACCCCACATCTCGTCTGGCACCCCACATATCCTAGTCTTGGCACCCCACATATCCTAGTCTTGGCACCCCACATATCCTAGTCTTGGCACCCCACATATCCTAGTCTTGGCACCACAAAGATGAAACACAGCAACACGCAGTAGTCAGGGTGTACACAAATCTCTAACCGCCCCAAACCTTTTGTTGAGAGCCACTGTGTGTATGTGAGACAACGAACTCAAATCATTTATAAAAAAAAAAGACCAAAATCAAACTAAATTCCACAATCTAACTGAAATTAAAGTAAATATTTTAAACTATTAATTAGATTAGATTAAGTTTGAGTTTTTATCATTGTTTTATAAATTATTTAAGCCCGTAGTGTTATATTTTACCCCTCCAGTGGTCAAGGTTACAGGGGGGTAAAAAGTTGTGTGTGTGTGTGTTAAAGTGGATGTGCTGTGAGATCCTTTCTAAATATACACACTAAACCAGCTCTTAAGACAGGCTATAAACAAGGGAATAACAAGCGTGTGAACAGTAAACCTCCCTAGATATATTGTTCTTTAAGAGGTAAAAAGCTGAGCTGTTTCCCCCGCCTTCCTCACAACGACGGACACACACACACACACACATAATGCATTGTACTGTACTGTATAATCAACACCAAAATGCATAGGTCTGTGTGTGTGTGTGTTTTTGCTTGCTTGTGTGTGTGTGTCTGTGTGTGTGTGTGTGTGTGTGTGTGTGTGTGTGTGTGTGTGCCCGTCGTTTGATTACTTTAGAAGTAGATTAAGCTATATTAAATTAAACTATAAATAAACAGATTATAGTAGGTTAGTCGTGAAGAGATTTGTGATCCCGATACAACAAGTGACGATCATCAACAACAATGTCTTACACACAACGAGAAATTATCGTTTTGTTTACTTACGAGTTCGAAACATAACTGAGAAAATGTTAATCTATTACAAAACAATATTAAGGGATTATAGAATGAAATTATTAAAAGTCGGTAAATAACAAAAGGTGTAGGAGTATAATTAGTAGTTACGAAATAATTAAAAGAAAGATAATTGGGTTTGTGGGTCAGTGTACTTAGGAATGTGACCCTCCATTATAGCGGATTACTAGTTCAGCTGCACCACGCCCTCACACTACACCACGCCCATACACGACACCACGCCCACTACACCACGCCCTCACACTACACCACGCCCATACACGACACCACGCCCTCACACGACACCACGCCCACTACACCACGCCGCCCTCACACTACACCACGCCCATACACGACACCACGCCCTCACACTACACCACGCCCATACACGACACCACGCCCACTACACCACGCCCTCACACCACACCACGCCCATACACGACACCACGCCCTCACACTACACCACGCCCTCACACACTACACCACGCCCATAGACGACACGCCCTCACACCACACCACGCCCATACACGACACCACGCCCACTACACCACGCCTCACACTACACCACGCCCACTACACCACACCACGCCACGCCCACTACACCACGCCCCTCACACCTACACAACGCCCATACACGACACCACGCCCACTACACCCACACCACGCCACGCCCACTACACCACGCCCACACGACACCACGCCCTCACACCACACCACCCTCACACACTACACCACGCCCATACACGACACCACGCCCACTACACCCACACTACACCACGCCCACACACCCCTGGACTTGATATGGGTCATTATACACCCATCTCTCTACATATTTGCATAATTAAACTATTACCAGAAATTTATCTTTATATAACCAGCACATTTATTAAAACTGTATAACACTAAACATGAGAGAGAGAGAGAGAGAGAGAGAGAGAGAGAGAGAGTGTACGAACCCAATTAAATAGAAAAAAACAGATAAATATAATGACATACAATGAGGTAATACAGTTATAGAGTTACAGGTGTTTGTTAAGTGTGTTTGTAGTGTGTGGTAAGTGTTTGTTAAGTGTGTTTGTAGTGTGTGGTAAGTGTATGTTAAGTGTGTTTGTAGTGTGTGGTAAGTGTTTAAGTGAATGTTTGTAGGTTGTTAAATGTGTGTGTGTGTTAGTATGGTCATCATCCGGAAGAGGTCATATAAAGTTTACAGCCGTGACCTTTGACCTGATGGGCCCTGAGGGACACTTGGGGGAAGTGCTCATGGCTGTCCGGTGCAGGAACGAGAGGATGTGGGCGTGTGTGTGTGTGTGTGTATGTATGTATGTGTGACTATATATGCATGTGTGTACCTGTATGTATATGAATGTACGTTTATGTATGTGAATGAATGTACGTTTATGTATGTATATTTGTGTACGTGTGTGTATGTTTACTGCTATAAGGAAACTGCTCACGGTAACTATTATGATTGAAGCATGTGTGTGTGTGTGTATGTATGTATGTATGTATGTATGTATGTGTGTGTGTGTGTGTGTGCTTTGACAGTTGTATATAAACCTCAGGCATAAATAAATAAAAAACTGCTTCTTTTATTTTTAATTGTTATTGTCTCTCTCTCCTCATTTTACCCCTCTCTCCTCCTCCCTTTCTCCCTACCCCTCTCTCCTCCTCCCTTTCTCCCTACCCCTCTCTCCTCCTCCCTTCTCTCCCTCATCTCTCACTCTCCCTTCCCTCCCCCTCCTCCCCTCCTCCTCTCTCCCTCCTCTCTCCCTCCCTCTCTCTCCATGTCCCCTACCACTCTCTCCCCCTCTCTCCCTTACTCTCCCTGCCCCTCCCTCACTAGAACTTGTGGCGCCTCCCTGGCTTTGGTAGTCGCTCCGGCGGCACCAGTCACAATTTTTCGAGTGCTCATTGAGGCAAGGAAAGCTGACAGACAGACAGACAAGTGGGCGGACGGAAGAAAAGAAAGGCAGATGAAAAAAAACAGATGAATGGAAGAACAAAAACAAACGAAAAGATAAGAGACACAGGTAGAAAGACACAAATAGACATACAGACATAGAGAAACAGATAGACAGATAGACACAGACAGACAGCTGCACTACGTCTTAAGTTTCATTGGGTTCGGTTGTCATGGGTTAAGGTGGGAGTGTGGGAGCCTTGTTTCACCGTCCATTAGAATGAATCCTCGAACCAAGCAGTTGTATCAGTGGGACGATTCAGTGGTTCGAATCCCCAACCTGACCGATCCCCATTCGAGTGACCAACGGAGGAGTCAGTTCCGTTTAAAGACCATCAATGGACCATCACATACAGTAGCTGGACCAAGAATGAACCGGTCCACCACGCATGGCCTCCAGACAGTCGACATGAATCATAAATCAATGGTAACCAGTATGTGGACCAGGGACACCGCTAGTGGACCGACATAGTACCGAATACACTCCAGCGGGACAGCTAGTGAATCGACCAGTGGACCACCAGACTCGTAAGTGGACCGGTACGCAACTGGTGGACCAACACATGGAAAAGGACAACTGCGGCAGCATATGAATCAAAACATGGACCAAACAGCCCTAATGGCCCACAAATGAACCAAAACATGGCCCACAAATCAATCAAAACATGGACCAACATCCCTCATGGCCCACAAATGAACCAAAACATGGCCCAACATCCCTCATGGCCCACAAATGAACCAAAACATGGCCCAACATCCCGTATTACCCATCTTCAACGTAACCTGGAAATACAACACTCTGAACAAGAAATAAATTACATATTAGATCATTGTTTACTCATGAATATATGTATTTGTTTACCTTATTAATGATGTGAGCAGCCAGCCAATCACAGCATCAGAAGTTCTCACGATATATCTCTCTCTTGTTTACTTAATTGACATATCAGTGTTATCTCTTCCCGCCTTTGCGTCATCCCTGGCCTCTGTGTTTACAAACATTAGCACGTGCGTCTCCTCCACCAGCCTGAAACACGTCCGTCACCTCTCGACGCCGACCGGGAACTGCTACTGAGTGACTGACTCGACACCAAGCACTGCCGGGTTACGAACTACTGTACTGAGGGGAGGGGGTGAGGGGAGGGGGTGAGGGGAGGGGGGGAGTGAGATGGAGAAGCTATTACCGAAAAATTTGTCTTTGTTATTTAATTATAATCTACATTTATTATCGAGTGATATTGATGACGTCATTTTATGGTTTTAAAATTACATTGATTTGTTTTATATTAATTATGTTTTATAACAGTACATAAAAAAATAATAAGATAATTAGCAGTTGTCCCGTAGTTCCAAAATTAAAGATCTAGCCATTTAAATCATCAAATATCACTTAGTTATTCATTAATGGACAAATAAGAATAAATACAAAAGCTGTTTTATCTTTGGGCGGCATAACAAGGTGGAGGACTGTGTTGAAAGCAAACAGCTGGTGACTTTGTTGGCTATCACTGGTTACACTGCCTTACTGTTCACCATTGTTTGTATACCTGCACTGTGTAAGTATGTATAATGTATACCTGCATTGTTTATATACATGCTGAATTGTATACCTGCATTGTTTATATACATGCTAAACTATACATCCTCATTGTCTACTGTAATACATGCTGAACTGTATACCCACATTGTCTATACATTATACATGTTGCACCAATGTAAACTAGCATGTGGACTTTACTGAATGTTTATTAATTTATCTGAGTGAATTTACGTGTTGCTTAGGTGGCAGTAAGAACTATGACACCTGTCCGAAACAGATGTGTCCTTATTCGGCATCAATTGTCAACAGGTGTATCAATGTCAGGTGTCAGTAAACAGGCGTGTCATTGTCAGGTGTCAGTCAACAGGTGAGTCCTTATTTGGCATCAATTGTCAACAGGTGTATAATTGTCAGGTGTCAATCAACAGGCGTGTCAGTCAACAGGTGTGTCAATGAGACATTTATGCTAGATCAAGTAAGGCTAGCATTAGGTTGGTTAGATTACGTTCAGTTAGTGTTAATTTGGTTATATCAGGTTAAGTTAGTGTTCGGTTAGGCTGGTGTTAGATTAGCTTTAGCTAAGCATAGCTAAGATTAGGTTAGATTAGGTTAGTGTTTGGTTAAGTTAGGTTTGGTTATTTTAGAGTGATCCCAAGGTTTATACAACGTACTTTATGATTTTGTAGGTGTTTGGGTGACCTCTGAGGACGTGTGTTGCAGGGAGGACAAGCTGCACCTCGCCTGGGCACCACCAAACAGGTAATGTTTCATCTCCAACACTATTTTATTACTGAAGTACTGTACTTGCCAAACATGCCTAAGAGATGGGAGAAAGTTTAACAGAAGATATGAGTTTTTCTCTGTGCCTTTATTAGTCTATTAATCAAATTTACAAATCATTGTAATTCATAAACCAAATGATAACAATGCCCTGTGTGGGTGAGTAAACAACCATTTGTTGCTAACAGTATTATCACATCATTTATTAAAATCAGCAAATATAAGTTGACAATCACATGTATCACTGATAATTTCAGTAAATTAATATTTCAGAAACTTGTATTGAAATTATATTATACTGTTACATAGTATGGGCACACAGAGGTGGTGCTGGTGCATTGCTTGGTGACATTATGAAACACCTCTCCTCCAGTACACCTGTAGCTGCTGATCTTGAGTTGGCCAGAAGAAGGGGACATCCTACATATATCATACCTCTGACAATTGCACTCTGGCCACTCGTAAACATCTTCTCCATCTGAGCAAGTCTCTCGCTGTTCACATGTAGGGGCACTGTTGTTGGTTGTAGGTTCTGATGAAGCGGTGTCTGTAGATCCTGATGCAGTGGTGTCTGCAGATTCTGTTGTAGGTTCTATAGTAGTTACTGGTGGGGGAGTTGGGCAATTATCATTACCTGCTGTAATACACCTGTTTGTCGTGGTATCAAATATTTTAGTGCCCGTACATCGGCGTTCTCGTTTGATCATCTTATCACTAGAGACGGATTTTCTGCAAGTGTAGTACCTCTTACAGTCACACTCAGGGTGGGCGTACACGTTCTCTTCTTTTCCTACACATGAGGCAGGCTGACTGCAATCGCCCAGGCTGTTAGAAAAAGAATGAAATAATGAATGAATATGTCGACACATACTGTACCTATGATATGAAAACTGCTATCATGTGGGTCTTTCTAACATAATGTACACTGTATTGGTACATAGAAAAAAATGACTGATATGCAATACTAACAAGCTTTAGTGCTCAACAATACATGGTCTCCTGTTGCTGTTCACTAATATACCACAGAGAAAGACAGAGCAATTTCACTGGTGTTAATGTCCAAAATGTACATGTGTATTTATTTTGTCCCGAGCACTTACTTCTGGAATGTGTACTTCTGAGACCAAGTCATATTAAATGTTGACGATATAAATTTATGTTTAATTCCAGTGTCCTCTTGAATGTTTGGATTGGATGCTGCTGTTAATGTTTACACCACCATATACCATATAAGGATACAGTGAGATATATACAGGACAGTAATTGAACACAGTCTTTTATACTGATCATACTGCCAACTAAGTTATAAAATTATATATCCAAGAGGCAAAAATATGTAACTATTGACACAGGAATTAGAGGTAGATTAAGTGTCACATGTCACCATCTGTCTGTTGTAGGTGAAGTGAACTACAATAAACGTCAGAGATTATTGCATGCTTTGAAGTCAGATAGATATGATGTGTTTTTTGAGTATGGCTGCTGAAATCACTGGAGTTGCTAAAAGAGAGGAATTTTTTTTTTAAATAGTGCGTTTTAAATAGTAAATGGATAAGGTGGTTGAGTGGCTATTATACTAGTCTGGCAGTTCATGGTCTAGAGTTTGAATCCCCATTGAGGATGTACTGTACATGTAATAACTACTGTATGTAATTGATATCCAGTGTGAACCATTACAAGGAGTAGTGTATAATCACCTTCCTACTTACTTGTTGTGAGAACTAAACTGGTTGAGAAATATCCAGACCGTACGGAGAGATATATCTTCCTTATTTCACCATGTCAGGGTTATATCATACTTAGTAGGTCACTGACACCTAAATTGACCTGTAACTATTCCAGGCTGTATATATTTGACAATTGTTGCTTGAATATATATATATATATATATAGCACTCTCAGAATAGCCTACAACCCCATGTGTGTGTGAAGTTATAATAGTTTCTTGTTAAATAATTTTGTTTCGTTTTCCATACATAACGGTCTAACACCGGTAAATGGAATTGGTCCAGATTTTATTTCATACTAACACCATAGAGTAGGTCTTGTTAGTTTAGGTTACATAAAGGTTTAGATTTGGTTAGATTAGGCTGTTTTAGGTAGTCTCTGTTAAATTAAGTTAGAGGTAGGTTAGGATAGGGTTGGTAAGTGTAAATTAGATGAGGTTTGGTTTGGTTGAAATAAGGTTAGTCTGTGTTGGAATACATTTGTAAATAAAAGGTAAATGAGTGACAAAGTTTGTATGGGAGACTTACCTGAAGTGTGGGGCATAGCCAACCAGCAGAAGGGCAGCAGTCACCTGTTGGTAAGGTGACACTCTATAATGCTGTACTATGAGATATTATTCAGGAATCAAAGGTGAAAGGTCATGTCATTCTGAGAGCACTTAGACTATGGTCATCTTAAAACCTGACCTCTGGGCTAGCAGGAACATATAATGGTCAGTATTGTCCATCTACTATCGTGAAAATTTTGATTTGGTTGTGAGGAATTAAGTACAGTTCTGTATAGCATTTGAGGATGGGAAGTCTGTATAGTGTGAGATTCTTAGATACTTTATAGTTGAAATATATAATACAGGTTGGAAGACTGTGCAGGGAATGGGGTATGAGTGTCAGGAATGGAGAAGGGAATATTCTAGTAGATGAGATATGTGGGACAGAAATGGGAAAATATTGCAAATAACTCAGGCAGTTGAGTACTGTAGGTAATGGGGTATACATAGCAAAAATGGGAACACAGGGTTTATGAGGAGTGATATGCTACTTACTGAGATGAACACTATCTTCATGGCAGCAGTGGTGGTGGTACTGGCTGGTGGAGAGTCAGGAATGATGGAAGAGAGAGTTCCTATGACAGCTTGGAGCTTCTGGTGTCCTGTCAAAGCTATGGTGAGGAAGACGAGTGCAGCCCACTTATATACACCCATGCACAAACCTCGAACACCCATGTTAATCCCAACACAATTTCCCCCTCCCACAAATTGCTGCATAACAACAATCAGCTATAATAAACACACAGTCCATTTTCTCATATCTTAAATTTCACCCCTGGGTGTAATGTTGATTAACACCTATTGTATTAGAGAGTAATAATTCCTTCTAATCTGTTTCCAGCCATATGATGCCAGTTTGACAATTTCCACCTGCGTCAAATATCTCACCTTGGTGCACTGTGGAGTATCAGTTATACAAGTAATGTGTAGGTGTCAGCTGGGACAACCTCATTGACACCCTGGTGTTGAGAGATATCAACACCTACACTACACTTATGTAACACCATAAAAGTACTGCCGCTCTTGTAGGTGATAGTGGCACACACATATGAAAGTGTGTCACAAGGTTGAGGTAATTCAGGGGCAGATCCAGGATTTTACGAGGGGGGGGGGGTCAGATTTTGAGTGAATTGAAAGAGTCACAAGAAGAAAAAATTAACAGAAACAATTTTTACAATGAAAATATTCACATTTTATTTAAATACTACTGTACTGTACTGTATTAACAAGTGATCACCTGCCCTAACCTCCACCCCTCTCTTAATCTGGTGTCAGTGGTGGTAACCCTTGTCGTGTGAGGTGGTAACTCCTGTCACCTTACATCTACGGCCTCTCACTTGGTGGTTCCTTTAAAATGTTGACAACTTGACACCGACTGACCAGAGGTGGGTGTTAATATAGAGGTCATTTACCTGTACCTGACATAGGACACAAATCCCATTCAAATGGTATACCACTAACCAGGAATGTGTTCTAGTTCGTCTCGGTACATGTTAAAATTAACTTGACGATATTTAGTCTAATGCAATGCCAGGTGTCTTATGTCAATGCTCAACCTCGAATCCCCTGGATCCACCACTGTAATTAATATAAATGACATCATAATTATTAATACTTGTACAATAATTATGATAGTTATAATAATGAGTAATAATAGTACAGGTAGTAGTGATAACAATAGTACAGGTAGTAGTGATAACAATAGTACAGGTAGTAGTGATAACAATAGTACAAGTAGTAGTGATAACAATAGTACAGGTAGTAGTGATAACAATAGTACAGGTAGTAGTGATAATAATAGTACAGGTAGTAGTGATAACAATAGTACAGGTAGTAGTGATAACAATAGTACAGGTAGTAGTGATAACAATAGTACAAGTAGTAGTGATACAGTAATAATAAAAGATAGTCCTGGTTCTATCTCTCTATCCTAATGTTTTCCAAGGACTTTAGTCATGCCCAAGAAGGACTTTCGATTATGCTTTCTAAGGACTTTGTTTTGCTTTATCCTTCTCAGGACCAAAACAGCTTATGGAAATTACACAGGGATGTTGATTTTAAATTCTCGGTTCTTGGCAGTGGATCTGTTTTAAGTCTTAACAGAAAACAAATTATCATTACAAGTAATACTGACTCAACACTCTTGTCAACAGCCTGTGTAGTATCAAAAGGAAATATTTTGGTACCTTTGGTTTTCCTAAGGTATATAAATGACATGTTTTGTTAAGTTTTGTTTATATATTAACAGTTCTGTCACAAACTTTGGTCCAGGACTGTACATGTAAATTTTTACAAGTCATTAGGACAATTAATTACCCAAAATTACAACTTTGACCCAGATCCTTAATGAGCATGTTTATGGGTAACAATGCTTAGATTTTGAGCAAAATTAAATATTCAACATACAGTACGTGACCCACTACTCTTTTGGATGAAAATAGAAAAAAAATCATCTCAGATTGGTAATGAATGCGTTTACTTACTTTAGTACATCCAGAATAACACCAAACTCCCAAAAATCACCATGGGAAATTCACAGGTGATGATAAATTATTATTACAAAACTAGTAATTCTTTCAAAGAATCACAAGGACAAATAATTACCAAAATTATTACTTTTGGCACTGTTACCATAATATTATAAGGGTAAAAAAAATATATTGTAGGTCATGTACACACACACATATAACTCCTGATTTATGTACTGTACAGCCCTGTAAATGTATTCAATGCATATTATATCATTATGTCTAAATCAAATGTAAGTCTGTATATTTTCAGCCACCGGCTGCAACTCTATTAATAAACCATTTATTATTATTATTGTTATTATGTATAAACCATACAAATACATAGCTCCCTTACAGTACACAATATTATACAATTCAGATAAAAATGCATTAGGACAGTTATACCTCGACATGATACATAAACATCATAGTTAAAACTTTAAGACTCATTGCTGGGATGACATAATACAGTACTTAACTGGGATGATATAATGCTGAGCTGGGATACATAATTTGCATGATGCTTAGCTGGGATGACAATGCCTTACTGGGATATAATGCTGAGCTAGGATGACAATGCTTAGCAAGGATAATACAGAATATCCCCCTATTTACGATGCGGTTACATTCCTTAAAATCCATTGCAGGTGGAAATATCATAAATCAGGATCATTATAACATGGGGTTCAATGCGATACGTTCCCAGCCAGTCCGACACCCACATGTACTACCAAAAATAAAATTCCTACAATAATAATATACATAAAACACAATTAAACAATACTCACCACATCATTAAGGACAAACCTGGTCATCATCACATGTCCCCTTCGAGGCTAAGGGGACTCTTGAAGGTGGAGTGGAGACACTCACACACCTTCACTATGTTAAGCTTCACCTTCAGAGACAGAGTTTTCTTGGGTGCCTTGGCCTTCGCAGACATTTTCACAGTTACAATGCTCACTTCAGTCACAAAAACAGAGCAAAACATTTGTCACAAAAACAGGGTGAACGATGATAATGTAAAAACAATGATAGCAGCCAACACTGCTCACATCATGTTCACAACAACAGAGGCAAAGCACTTTACAGCCACAAAAAAGAACAGAGTAAAAAATCACTCCACAGTCACCAAAACAGAGTACAATGTGATCAGTAGTGATGTCCACTTACTGTAAGGTAAATATAAAAAACAAAGACAAAAACACTGATGATAAGTAACAACAGAGAGACTGACCGATATAATTAATCGTTGAGCTACACGATCACGGGCATGTGAGATCACCATGAAACAAAGCTTTGGACTGTAATGCACCGAGTGGCTGCCTGACAGAGCGGGGTACACCACAGGTAACATGTGCAGAGAGAGATGCGGATGATCACTATCGTTCATGTGATTTTTTTTCATCATAAATAAGAGGGTGGTCTTAGTACACCATCATCGTTCAAGTGAAGTATCGTAGGAAGGGAGATCGTAAACCAGGGGATACCTGTATTATACTTAGCTGGGATGCCATTACGCTTAACTGGGATGACATACCGTAATAAGCTAGAATGACATCTAACTGGGATGACATAATGCTTAGCGGGAATGACAATTCTAATACATAGCTAGGAAGACAATTCTACATGATACATAGCTAGGATGACAATTTAACATATATAGCTAGGATGACAATTCAACATGATATATAGCTAGGATGACAATTCAACATGATACATAGCTAGGATGACAAATCTACATGATACATAGCTAGGATGACAATTCTACATGATACATAGCTAGGATGACATGACTTCTACGTGATACAGACCTGGGATGACATAATACATAGATGGGATGAGGTAAGCTATGCATACGATGGACGTGAATTAAACTATACATGTAATATTGCACTGGGATGAAGCAGACAACACATAATAAAACATTGCATTAAATTTACTTATGTTAAAATACTTGGGTTTTGTTAAATACATGTGATTAACAGTATGGGTGAAGCCTGCCATAATTGTTGTCTCACTGGAATGAAGCTGACCATAAATTACACCCATATGAAGTGTAGTCAGTTGACAATTATGTGCAGCTAAGATGATTTCACTCACAGACTAATGAGCATCTCAAAATAGTGTTTACATACTGCCTTACATATTTCCATGGCAACCGCTTGCAATACAACAGCAGAACTGTCCTCACTTGTTGATGTGTGAGATCACCCACAATGATCTCCATGAAAATGTGTAAGGCAAAGTGTATACATTTCTTTTAGATACCCTGTATGTTTTCCAGTTCATGATGTTATTAACAATGATTGTTGGGAAGAGAGACATTTAACATGACTGACAAACCTTGTGACCAGTAAACAAATACATCAAGTTGATCTACACAAAAAATGCTTGGTCATACAAACACAATGGCTGACATGGCTATCTCAACATAGTACGCTGTAACACTGATGTACAGTCCCCTTCACTAGCGCGTTTACAGGGGCTCGTCATATAAACATTCCACAAATCATTTTGAGATACTTTTTTTAATATTGTTTTACAGTACTTTGATTCCATGGTATGTTTACAACTGTGAGTATCCTTCTGTCGAATGTAAACAAACACAGGGCTGCCACATTACACAAAACCAGACAAGCCCATGCACTAGGGAAGGGGACTGTACAGAACACATAAATGAAAAATGGACATAAAGTACTGTACTGAATTTAAGAAAGTTTCTGTTTCAATAAACTCTGAGTTTTTAAAACCCTTACAAACAAACTACTATGCTTGGCATCTGTTAAAAATCTATAATTGAATTTTGGCTTTATTGTTTACAGATTCCATACAATTATTCCCACTATCAAATTGTTAATGACTTTAATTAATAATGTGCCATATTCTGAAAATACAGTCTCAACTACAGTAGAACCTCTATACACCAGAATTTGCATCAGTCCGGCTGGTTGAACATGTGCGTGAGTGTCGTGTCGGAGTCCTGCCTTTATCATATCAGTGTGCCACACCTTGCTACCTACACTCATAACTTTTTGTGTAGAGTATGCATTTCGTCTTAACAGGGTTGCTTGAGGGCTTTAAGAAATGGATAAAATTATGTAGGGTACATATTTTCAAGAAATTGGCAAGATAAAAAATAAAAAAATGCTTATGAAAAGAACAACAATTGCTCGCTGAATACTGTACAGTGGTCTAATTACATATGCTGTAGGCCTAATGAGAGCTAAGACACTATGTATGTAAACAGGCTTGAGTTGGGGGGGGGGATTAAAGAAAAAGTACAGTACTGTATTGAAATTTTTTGATGAAAAGGGGGTCCAGATCACCCCCCCACCTGGATCTGCCCGATAGGAACATTTTAAAGGGATCCTGGGGGAGGGAGCCACCCACCTGCTCTTCCCATACACAATTAACCCCAACAATCTTATTTTTACCTTCATAGTACTGTACAGTATATAGTTTTCTCTTTATTTATAAGGTAAATTCTGTGGTTACTTACATATAACACAATGAAAACAGTTGTCAACAACCTGACTTATAACTATCTAATTTTCTTGAAACAGTCCAGGGTTGTGTTCAGAAACACCCCCCCCCCCCTCATAGATTTGCCTTTTCCAGAATGGGGTCTGACCCAATTTGTCTGGTGTATAGAGGTACTACTGCATTACCATAACTGCTACCCACTTGTGTATTGTCTTGCTTACCTGCTAGTACCCATTTCTTTGATTTGATTTGTCCTCTGGGGTTGCCTATTTCTTTTTTAACAATTATGTCCAAAGTGAAGCAAACATGAAAGAACTCTCCTGGTGTAGCAACCAACAAGAAACAAAGGTGAGTAACTGAGCATAGATTGGTCACAAGTTGTTCGGCTTGGGGAGGTCAAACAATTCTCTCAGTTATTCTATGAGAGATGATACTTAGGTAGTCGGCTGATTAAATAAAAATTATTAAAAAAAATCCTATAGTACATGCAAATTTCTCCTAACAGATGATGCTGCACAAGTGTTCCAATGGTAATAATCTATGCAGTGCTCTGTCATGGCATGTCTCCACCTTTCTCTAAGTGTAGCCAGGTGTTTCAACTAACAGAGTCTATAACAGTGTAAATCTACAATGAAAAATCCCTGTTTATCCTTTGCTCCTTCAAGATAAAACAATCAACTGGTGAAGCCTGAATGTATTCACAAAGACAATGTTTTATTTTGGGAGATGATAGT